GTAAAATTATTTACAAGCATATAATTTCGATTCTTTTGGATTCTAAGTGAAGTGAAAAGGAGATTGTAATTGTAGGATTCGTACACTGAAGAAAGGGCGCATGAACGACCATAATCCTTCAAATCTATAAACCCAGTTTACTTTTCCATGAACATGAACGTCTCCACGATGAAATTAAACACCTGGACACTGCCTGTGTGCATGGATGATATTAAAATGCTTTCAAATTCTTAAAGTAATGAGAAATTACGATTTATCGACCTCTAGATGAGAATATCTTGTGGATAATGAAAGTATAGACATAGAGATAAAAGACTCATTGGATGCTCAAAGCTTTTCAAATTCCCACAAGTAATTTAAAAAATTATTATGACAGGTTTAAATCGTTAATTAATTCTTGCACAATTGGAGAAAAAAAAATCTTCAATGAATGTTCGAGTAAGATCTTTTAAAAGCTTGAAAACCAAACAATCCTGAAATCGTGGCGAATCATCTGCTTCTGCAAATCGTTGGAGCTCTCGTTGCGAAATTGGAAATGAAGGAAAACTTACTGTTGGTGAGGACACCCTGTTTCATGGGGAATCCTTGTTTGTCATTGCCACCAGCCACACGAACAACATAGCCTTTCCACTCATCTCCAAGGGAATCAGCCTCTACTTCAGCTCCCATACGCTTCTCGTAGAAAACTCTGAGCTTGTGCTCATCGGTGATCTCGATGAGCTTCTGGCATCCTGTAGCCGGGTATGACACGTTCAACTGAAATCAATTAAACAATTGAAATTGATGAAATTATCCGGTAAAATAAATCAAATAGATAAATGAGTAAAACGAGGTAAATTAACTCGTATTTTCGGTGAGTTTCGAAAATATCTCTGAATTTAGAGGAGATAACCATTTTTTGTCAGAATCTTCTTCAGAGGAACAACTGAGACCTACGAAAAAGGTTAACACAACAGTCTGTAGTTTCTTTTATTCTTTGATATTTCGGAAAAACTACATATACTAATTTCACATCGTTTTACCACATCTCGAGAGAAATCCACTTTTTTCATTTGAAATATCAGTTTTTGGAAATACCTCTAAGCAGCTAAAGAGATTTTTTATAAGTTCTGATCTTCTTTGCAAGAAGATCGAATTCAAATGACCGCTATCTCCATTAGATCCAGAGATATTTAGCAAAAACTCACTTCAAAGATGATTTATTCTCTTTTATCCTCTTTTATTTATTGATAATTCACTAATCAGATTTTTCAAATTCAATGCTCCAAACGATACGTTGAGGTTAGGAAATCCACGGATTGTTTATCACTTTAAGGGATTACCACAATAACTTTTTGGTAATTCCTGGAGAGGAGTAGTTTACGATTACGGATACATTATTTTGTGAACGAGTTTATTTTGGATAAACAACTGTGAAACCTCGATTCATGTGTCGAAGGAGGCCGCGGTTGACACCTGACTTTCGAACAGATTTTTCAAACGTCATGGGAATAATTGAACCAACAATATGCACATGAAATTAATCCGTGGAATTTCCTCGTTCGTTTGAGCGTTTAATCATGATTCACAGATTTGGGATTGAAGAATTATGGACAGATTCGTACCTTCATCGCGACACGATCTAAACAGTGCCACGAGCCATGAAAAAGAAAGAGCACCAGTTGAAAATGTGGCCTATAGGGCGCGTCATAACCGGAAGTTGAGAGTTACCGCGGGAAAACAATTTTTTCAAATCTCCAGCGGTCACATGTGTAACGATGTCCATAACAAATCCCCAGTATTCATAAAAAATTCGTTATTTTTTAACTGAGAGATAAAATTATTCTCTGCGCATATGATTTTTAATAATTTTGCACATGATCTTCTATTTTTATTTATATGTTTAACAATTTAAGTCTCAAGGAAATTGTCAATTTCTCATGAAGATTTTCTCTCAAGGAAAATCGCGAGAGAAAAATACTACAATAAAAATCTTTAAATAGAAAAAAAAAAGAATTTTAATCAACTTTTCTTCCCTCCCCTCCCTTTAAACAATCATTTACGATTCACATAAATAACTGTTATATATTCTTCGACCGAATTTTGAATTATTTTGAAAAATCGCAACGATGAGAATATGAAACTTCTCATTCAAATCCCAAAAATGGGTGAGAAAAAACTTTTCCCTTCGCGTTTCCAGTTGCTGAAAGATGAAAAAATGGTTAAATGATGTAATAAAAAAAATCTGAAATCCAGCAAAAAATTTGGTACAAGTGTTTGCCGCTATTCAAAACAAATGAATCAATGAACTCATTCCCATCTATTTAAATCCTCCCTTGACCTCTAAAAGCACCCGACCCACACCTTACGAAACCCCCGATTTACTCCCAACAAAAATTCAAAAAAAAAACCTAAACAAATAAATTTAAAAAAACAACGAAAATACGCAGTTACGCCGGGTTGAAAGTACTTCTGAAAAAAAGAGTTCTCTCTCTACTCTTGATACGCACACGCCGGAATTGCAAGTCTGCAGCGTTCCATTTCATTGAAATGCCGAGGATCGGGCGTATTTGGTTGCGATAAAAAAAGTTTAACATAAAATAGCCGTGGGAAAGAAAGTCCCCAAGTGCCTGTTAAAGTTTTACAATTTGTTATACCCCCATTTGGATAAATAAGTGATAAAAATTGAATGAAGAAAGCCATTGGAACTTTGCGGCATTGAAAGGTAATCTTGTGTCTTATCATCGCACCCTCGAAATTTTGGAGGTTAGAAAATTACTCCGACGTTCCTACAATATTTTTCAATAATTCTCCACGATCCCAGTGATCCTGAAAAAAATAATCTCCACGTTCAGCACTGATGAACGCATCATTCCTGATATTCTGGGGTTTGTGGACAGTCCGATGGAATTATTTCCCGGAGATTTGTTTAGAGAATGTGGGTGGCATTTTTGATGATGATTTTATCCATGATTTTTTCTGGGAGCTGATCCTGAGGCTTTTGATTTTTTAGAATGGAGGGTTGAATTGGTGCTGATAAATCTCACTCGATGCCAGAACTTTTGGTGGAAAAGCTTCTACTGGGAGAGCCATGAACGCATCTGTTATTGAAGTTCTTCAGCAGGCGAGCAGTCAAGATCCTAATGTCTTCAAACCGGCTGAACAGATGCTCAGTGAGTGGGAGACGCAGAGAGGATTTTATACAACACTTTATGTAATTATTCATTCAATTACAACGCACTGTTGTCTAGCTCAAGTGGAGGAGTTATGAAATTCTGATTTCCAGAATGTCTTCTCCAATTATTCATTATCGGTGAATGTCAGGTGGATGGCAGTCCTCTGTTTTAAGAATGGAGTGGATAAGTATTGGCGGAAAACTGCACCCAAGTAAGAATTATTATTTTTTATTATTCATTTTAGCTATCATTTCTTCGTCTTCATAGAAATTAAAGTAGCTCTACCTTTCCCACCGGCTCTGTTGGATTTTTTAATATTTACGTATTTTTAATTGTCCAACTGCAAGAATTTTTATATTGAAAAATATATTCAAAAATAACTCGCGAT